AGTTGTCTTCAGATTGATTTGAGTTACTCACAGCAAAGGTTTACATACATCCTTAACTTAGTCCCTCCCTCAGGCATCTGATCTTCCCTGCAGAGTTTGAGGCACCACCTATGCCTCTAAATCAAGGTATGTGCTTAAGCACTAACTGAATGGAGTTTTTAATCTCAAGAATTCTCCTGGAGAGTTCTGTCAGACTGCTCCCGTTCACAAAATTAAACAGAAAATTTCTTTGGAGGACTAGGGCGAACTTAAGCAAAACAGAGCCTACACTATAAGGTAGTTTCCTGTCTTTTGCAATATATAAATGCATTTAAACACCAGGTGACATTAATGGAAGCATTTCAGACATTGCCAAATCTTCACAGAAATATGTTTGATTTTTTTTTTTAAGAGAAAACGCAATCCTGTTCAAACTTTTCAAGTGTCTCATGTAACTGCAGCAGTGCTCTATAATAACATGAGCCATAAATGAGGGGTCCATATACTCGTTGTAACCCTGAGCTGATCTTTCTGGAGTTCAGCCACTGAGTAATTGCCAGGACTTTCTGAAAGTGAGATGTAACTTTTAGTTGAGGTATTCAATTATGGCAGTCCTACACAGTGAGGGTCTCGTTCAGGGGCTTTCCTGATAAAGATTTCTAAGACTTTGTCTGCCATTGTGGGGGGAGGGCGGGGGGAAAGTTGTTCCTATAGCAAAAAGGATGATGACCAATAAGGTTTGCAGTGGTGGTGTCAGCTTAGTTATAAATACCAGGCAGGAAATTTTGCTTCACTTTCAGATGAAATAGCACTGAAATTACCCAGTCAATCTTCATCTCGCGCTGTTGTTATTTTTTTAATTTGACTCATTAGTCTTGCTTTAAGAAGGAATAAGATAAGGAAGCAGCCAAAATGAAAGAAAATAAAAATCACAATAACGAGTGCCAAAAAGCACCAAGACACTTTTATTTGTACTTTAGGCTTATCTAAACATACAGAACACAAGCTTCCTTTGCCCAGAAGGGCAAAGGCAAAAGCCTTAACCTTTAAATCTAAATAGGTGTATTTTAGGTAAATTATTTCCTAATTTTAGTTGAGCACAGAAGATTACTGGTCTTTACACAATAGTAAGGTCAAGCAATAAAATTTTGTTTGTACCAGTAGTTTTTTTTATTGTCCTTCGTTAAATACAGAGCTTGTTACATGTTTTGAAATGCAAAATCCAAGTGATTTTATCAGCTACTTGATGTGCCTTTTGGAGATAAAGCAATGGCTGAAATTTCCGAAGGAGTGTCACAAAGCTGAACTTCTGCTTACTCCCAGATTCACACTGGCAGTGCAAACACCTGACAGAACTGAGTGGATTATCCATTAATAAGGAAATGAGTCCATCAAGGAAGGTTGCTTATCTGAGAATTTAAATAACAAATTTCCCTCAAGGTGGGATCTTGTTTGTGATGGGAAGATTATGCTCCTTCTCCTTAATTAGCAGCCATCTGAATGAGTTTAAGTAGTGACTAGCTAATAGGTTTTCTACTTTACAGCTCTTGCTGTAATCCTGGATTCTTTGGATAGATTTGTGTGACGAGCCAGCCTGTCACAACACATGGCTGTAAGTTAATGTCATGCCATATAAGGAAATCCTTCCCAAAAATGTGGAACTTAAAAAAATGCCCTCATGGGCTTTTGTAACCATCCTATCCAAACTCCCTCTGTGAGGCAAGAGCATACATTGTCCCTGTTTTATGGACTGGGAATGGCCAGCCAAGAGCATTGTCTAATGCAATGTCAGAAATCTGAAGAGCTGAATTCCAGCTCAGTTTCATCTCTAAGTCATGAATCATCCACTCTCTGTCTACAGGAAAATTTTCAGAGCCCTTTAGCAGAGAAAGCTGGAACAAGTAAATCCAGTGTGACAGTGCAGACTTTGATTTCAATAACAACAAGAAAAATCTACAAGGAAGATTAATTATTACAGTATTGTTGAAGACATAAAGAGCATAACAAGGGCTCCAGTTTTCAGCCTGAAATGATGGCAAGACAGACTACTGATTCTGCAAAAACTAAATGGAGGTAACAGGGATCAAAATCCTGTCCCCAGGGCTAGGTCCTGCAGTTACCTGATTACACAGAAACCTCAGGTTTTTAAGATAAAGCTCCAATTTTCCTGCCACTGTGGGTGTTGAGAGCTTTGCTGAGTGGCTGGTACAGTAGTGTCTGTCTGGGCCTGAGGCTTAATCCGGGATGGGTTGGATGGGGCTTGGAGCAACCTGGAGTAGTGGAAGGTGCAATGCAGGAAGCCCAGTGCAGGGGGTGAAATAAGATGAGCTTTGGAGTCCCTCCCCACCCAAACCTTATTGCTTTGCTTCTCCACAGCCAGCAGAGGAAAAATGTCTTGAGTCAAACCTCCTCTGATTTTGAGTCACGTACATAATTAAGATTATATGTCCAAAAATGTATGGTCTGGGAATGCTTTGTATTTTAATCCAGAGAAAAAAATTCACATATGTTGTAGTAAAGCTGCTTAAAATCCAGGGTAGTGATAAGCTTTTAGGTCACTGTGCAATCACCTGGTGTAAGTATTTCTGCTGAGGACTAAAATGATGATATCAGCTTTTCTTCAGCATATTATCTTAGTTTTGTCTTGTGAACGATACAACTAAGAATGTTGCCAAGGGTTCCCTCCCAGGAATTCTTTTGCTGATATATGTTTACTGGACGTGGGGCAGTAACCCCTGAGTTACACTAGTGTAAGTGAAAATTAGGACCATGCTTATGATCATGTAAAAAGATCTAATAATCCATTAGAGGAAAAGAGGAAAGCAAAGTATTAGTTCGTCTAGCAGTTTATTCCACTCAAACGGTGAGAATCTCTTTGTATCATTGTCCCATTATCAGTGGCTAAATAAGGAATTGAAAAACTACAGAAGAGCTGGGTGGAGACCTAAGAAAGCAATTCAGAAGTCTGGAACTTCCTCTGCTAAGCAATTCTGGCACTAAACCCAGGCAAAAATCAGAGCTTCTTAGCCAAAATAAATCAGTGCAATGATGATATCAGATGTGAGGTAACAGCAAGTTACGCTGGAGGGTATTAGACATTCTTCAACAAGCCACAGGGCCCAGATATAATCCTTTGCCATTACACTGCAGCCCTGCCAGCAAAGGAAATGCATTTTTTGGAGTCGTTTTGGCGAGGAAAGTAAGAGCATATGCAATCTGTGTGCTGAGAGTGGAAGCACCTCCAGCTCACACTCCCCCAGCAGCCATTAAATATCCTCCATTCCCACACTCTGATTCCTATGGAAGCAAACAACTCTCTGGTGTCATTTCCACAAGAAACAGCTGGAAGGCTTGTTGCAGCCTTTTCTTTGCTCTCATTTATTGACCAGATTTTCTACCATTAGCCTTACTTCTTCCCTCAGTTTTTGTGTGTCTGTTCTTGAAAGCAAATTGATTCATGACCTGAGTAAATGAGTGAATGTGCATTGTAGTTTAGAACTGTTGAACACTACAAAGTTGAGATGGAATTAAGTTAGTTCCACAGAAAAAAAGGGAAGTTTTATTAGAGGTAATAAACTCAGTGCAGAACAAATTTATTTAGACTGTGATGATTAAACTACCTGGATAATTAAAACCTGTGATGGGTAAGATGACACGTGACAGGAAAAGGTCAAGTAGTTAACTAATTTATTTTTTTGTAGTTTGATTCATTGGAAGGTAAATACTACTCTTGTGGGGCATGTTAACTTTAATTCTAAAATGTGTTCACCCAGGCAGTGAATGGGGGTTATTTAATAAAGTTTAAAAATTAGAAAGCTAAACTTTTACATAGGCCAGTTCTAGACGGAAAGATGTAAGCACTGAGAGAATATAAGCACTGTAGAAACTATGTAATTTTGACCATACAAGGGGGTAGCTGCCTGGTAATGTCTGGCATTTATGTGAATTCCAGCTCTTACAGATATCTATTTTTACCCTTCATTAAATTCCTCTCAGAGTGAGACAACAGAAATCTCAACAAAAATCTCTAGGAGTTATTTCCAAATCTTTTCTCACTTTCCTCTCTGCAAATCTCAAATTACTGTGCTTTGTTTGGGAACAAGGTGAGGGAAAAAAATGGGACCAGGATTATCCCACCTCTACTGACTGCTAGGAGAGGAAACTGTATGTCCCCGACAAGAACTGATGCAGAGGTTTCGATTGATGTGGCACTCCCTAAGTTGCTATTTTTCCTCCTTATTGATTGAAAAAACAGACTGAATCATCCCAAGTTTTCATACAAAAAGAGACATTGTGCAGAAATTTTACAGCCATTTGAAGGTTCTGTGGGATTTTTTTGTTAGTTTTTTTTTGCACATACCAACAACCAAATTTCTACTTTCTGTTTTTATTTGTATATGTGTTCATAGATGCCTAAAGTCAGTTTTTCTACAGAGGGCAGTATTTGAATCCCCATTTCTAAGGCTGAAAGGCTGCTTAGTCTGCCACCTAACATTTTTAATGGAAACACCAGTCTGGGATGGTCTGGGGAAATGTTCACTTATGTTAAACCTAATTCTGCACATCATCTCATTGAGTGACTGCATTAAATGAGGTCAGAGAAAAAATAATCTGAGTCTAAAAAGCCAGTCTGTGATTTGCCACTCTGTAGATGTGGACTAATGAGGGTTATAGGTTATTTACTGTATTTCCTAGCATTCTACTTCGTGTCTGTCTGTGTAGGAAGAGTGGTTTTGACACATTTAGGATCTGGTTTTGTTTGTACTGAGTCGTGTCTCTTTGTTTTGTTCACCTGATATCAGTTTACAGTAAATGAGCTGTTAGACCAGAATATTTTTTTCCCATTTGGAAAACATGTAAATAGAGTGGGAGTATTTTATAAATCTAGCTTTGTTTAGTCCATGCTTAGCAGCATTAATCAAACAGTTGAGATTGCTCTTCACCAAACGTGCACTTCTGTTAAATGGAATGTAAATGTTCTCCAGCATTGGGGATAATGATTTTGCTTCACGTCTTTGCAGCAATATGAGAACTGGAGACCAAACCAGCCAGACAGCTTCTTTTCTGCTGGAGAAGACTGTGTTGTCATAATCTGGCATGAGAACGGGCAGTGGAATGATGTACCATGCAATTATCACCTGACCTACACCTGCAAGAAAGGAACAGGTACAAACTTTCCAGTTACACAAAGCATAATTTTCTAAACTGGCATTTAAAACTTTGTGTTAATGTGTTCTCTGGGCTTTAGTGGATTCAGTTTTAAGTCTTTTTAAATGGTGTCATTGAGGAAGATGTGAGAAATATTGAAAATGAGACTTTTTTCTTAAATGCCTGTAGTAGCTTCACTGGTTTTCAGGTTTTTGAAAAATCCCTTCTTTGTGTGAGTGTTCCAACCTTTTTGGCTCCAATTTATGTCAGAATTTAAACCAAAAAGGGGATACTAACCACAATATCTGCCATTTTCCAATCTCCATCACTATTGCATTTGGTTTGCAAGACTGGAGAACTACAGGAGAAATTGATCCCCCTGTCCTTGTCTGGATGTGCCTCTTAGGGGTCTGCTTGAGGTCCCTTGACCCCTTCCCTTAGCCAGGGCTCAGAGGGCAGTCCCAGCTCAAAGCGGTTTTGCAGGCTGATGTTTTAGGTGATGTTCTCTCTTCCTTCCAGTTGCTTGTGGTCAACCTCCTGTTGTGGAAAATGCCAAGACCTTTGGGAAGATGAAGCCTCGCTATGAGATCAACTCCCTCATCAGATACCACTGCAAAGATGGTTTTATCCAGCGCCATATCCCAACCATCCGGTGCCAAGGGAATGGAAGATGGGACATGCCCAAAATTACTTGCATGAATCGTGAGTCCTTTGAAAGCAAAAGAGTGACAGACCAGAAATAGTAGGATAATTTAAGTAATGAGTAATTAATAAGTAATTAATAAGTAATAAGAGAAGAGCAAATATGGTATGAAAGGTTACGATAGCAGCACTGCTCACTCTGTCTGGAGGAAAGAACGCCAACCCTCCAAAACTATTGACAATATTAATGAAAATGCTTTTTGTCTTTACAGAAGGCGCTGAGATTCTTTAAAAATAAACAATAACACTGTTATAAAGTCCTGGAATCAACAGGTTCCTAATATCACTAATGATTTTTTTGCCACTGTGTGTAAGAGATACTTCTCCTCCCTATAACACAGTCATAGCACCAGTTAATCATTGGCTAACCCTCTAATTAAACAAGAATTAACAGAGCTGTGTCATGAAGTCTAGCAAATTAAATAACTTTAAACTAATTTCCCTTTTTTTTTTTTCTTAATTTCCTCCTTCTCATTGCAGCATCCACATACCAAAGGACTTACTCTAAGAAATACTACTACAAACACTCCTCATCGGGGAAGGGAAAATCACTAAACTCGTCGAAGCACTACCACCGCTGGATCAGGACGTGGCAGGACTCGAGGCGCTGAGAGCTAAATGGTGAACGCGGGATCTCCACCATTTCAGCCAAAGTCATAACTTCCTGTGCCTTTTCTATCACTTATAGGAGTATTATCAAATTGTTTTGAAAACTACGGACTGCAGTATTCACAATGCGTTTTTGCAAAAAAATAGAAAAAGATATGGTGTTTATCAGAAAATTTAAGAAAGAAATAAATAATAAAAAAAAAAGAGGAGAAGTGCTTATGGGGATAAAAGGAAACCATTTCCAGCCAGTAAAGATTATTAATTTTCTATATGCCATCGGTGTGGACCATTTAATGATATGTACCAGCCCTCTGCAATATTTAAACAGCTCGATTTTAGCACCAATGAAAATGTAAATAAGAGGATTTTAATGTTGTTTGTGTGTTGTTTTTAAAATCCTGTATATAAAATGAAAAGTCACACTAATTTCAGGCATATTTATGGTTAGAATGGCCTCAGAGGTCTTCAGTCATTTATGACGTTGTTTTTATGTTGTTTACCTAGGCTGGAAATGGTTGAAATAATGACTTCACTGACTGAAATTTGCTGTTATCAGGTGAAGATAAACACACAAGTTACATGATTTTTTTTTTTTTTTTTTAATGGAAACTGTGCCAATTCCCATCCAAGGTACAGTTTGTGCCCATGAGATGCAAAGTTTAGACAGAGCACATAAAAGTGACATGAGGCATGAACTAGGGACTGCAATATGGAACATTTCTTTCTGCTCTCCATTCCAGCTTCACCACTCATGAGAAAGGACTGCATGGAGGAGTTTTGTATGAAAGGGAGAGCCTGTAAAATTCCAAGTGCTAATACATTAACTTTATCAACCAGGGCTACTTTTTTGTTTGTTTGTTTCTGAGAGGAAAAGAAAAAAACTATGAAAAAAAGAAAGGAAAAAATTACTTTCATGACATTAACCACAAGGTCTATATTACAGGTCTCTGCATTCCAAAAATGGAGGTAGACCTGGCATTTGGGGGATTTTTTTTTTTGTAAAAAACAAACAAAAATCAAAAAAGTAAATAATTTTGTATATATAACCATTTTTTAATCTTTTTATAAAGTAATGAATGTTTGTGTATGAATGCTGCAGCTGTGAAGCGTACATAAATAAATGAAGTAAGCCATACTGATTTAATTTATTGGATGTTATTTTACCCATGCAAAGAAGATTGAAAGAGCTCACCAGTGCAGTATTAGCCCCTGAGCTCCACTTTTGGAACCATCTTTCAGTTCAACTTGCTATTTTCCCCAGAGAGCAAAATTCCTGCTCAACAAGAGCAAAATTCCTGCTCAACAGGATCGTTTGTTTTGTGGTTTAAAAGAGTGAGAACTGTGTGACTTACAGAAGAATCAGGATCTTGGCTTTCTAGAGAGAAGTGTGTGCACAGACAGATGATTAGGTTGTAGTTGGTGCAGTGTGTATGTAGGAATTTTCTGTTATGGTTTCTTACCCTGGTTAGTTTGACAACTGGCCTTGATGTGTACAGTGAAGTAGAAGTTAACGTTTGGAATGATGTCTCCACAAAAAGGACTGTTATTCCTGCCAAATGCCTTGCACACCTTTGGGCACAGGATTTAAAAAAAAAAAAAAAAAAAAAAAAAAAAAAAAAAAAAAAAAAAAAAAAAAAGGG